CTGATAATTAAATTCACTTTAGAATGGATAATTCAGGTTGCACAACTATTTACAATACTATTTTTCCGTAAAATATATTAACATTTGAATATATGTTCTAAATTTTGTGTTCTTTGACTAGTTTCATTTTGTAATTTTCTTTCACTTTTATACTCAGAAAACACTGTGCATGGAAATAAAGCTTTAGTTTACTAAAGTATTTTTAAATATGATGAAAATAAAATTACTATACTTATTCTGTGGATAAACTCAGCAATTTTCCATGCGCTGAAGTAAAATAAAATATTGCTGATAATAATTACTGATATTCAAAGGTTCACTTTCTAAATAATAATTACTGATATTCAAAGCTTCACTTTCTTTCCAAATAAGTTAATGAATTAAATATTGGATATACTGAAACAACTGGACATTTAAAGGCTTTGAGCTAAAACTTACATTTAATTTTGGGCTTTGCAAACTCTAATACCTTGCTTTGCCAATAATATGACAATGTTCTTGGCAAATTTCATGGAAAACAAGCACATAGTTAAAAAAACAGTCAGTATTAATACAGAATATTTAATTTAAAAGAGGCCCCATTCTAGAAACAGTCAATGTAAACGTATGAGAAAAAATGTGCTTTTTCATGAAACACAACATGGAAATATATAGGAATCAAAGCATTATGTGAAAATAAAGTAAGTGGAGAACTGATATGCACAAAACTGTTATTAAATTTGCAGCAACTTTTTTTAAAAAGGTCCTATATAATAATAACTAAAATCTCAATCACTCTGTTACAAAACCCTAAGCGTTAAGTGTGTCATCAACTGAAAAAATTTTTAGATCATTACATGTATTAGTAGTATTAAAGATAAGATGTAATCAATTTAAGGATTGGATAAATTCAAAACCATAAGTTTATTTTTTACAAAATTATGCATTTATTATTAGCATCATCACAATGCTACCTACTTTACATCAATATTATTTCGGAGAAAACAGATCTCCTGATTAAAATAACATTGCTTTATCTTTGTATTATAAAAAGAACTTTTTTGTTTAAAAAACGTTTCTAATATTTCAGAAAGGCTTTGAGCTTCTGTTAATTGTGAATGTTACAAGCAATTAATTATAAAACACATAAAAAATTATCTTAATTTAAATAAATGCTCCTTTTTTTTTTAAAGTTTCGGAAAGGAAAAGGAGGAATTATCATACAGCAATGCTTGAAAAGTGTGCGTGCATGAGGCAAAAATGTTGAGAACCGCTGAATTAGAGGATTGAGAAAATTTGAAAACCAACAGATCACATTTAATTTACCAACAGAGGGCAGAAGATTGCACTCTGATCAGGAAACAGTATCTACATACTTGTCAACCTTGAAAAATGACATAACCAGAAGCTCTCACACTCCAAACCAGTAGCATTTCAAAAGAACTCTGATAACTAAATTCACTTTAGAATGGATAATTCAGGTTGCACAACTATTTATAATCTATTTTACTGTAAAATATATTAACATTTAAATATATGTTCTAAATTTTGTGTTCTTTGGCTAGTTTTGTAATTTTCTTACACTTTTATACTCAGAAAACACTGTGCTTGGAAATGAAGCTCTAGTTTACTAGAGTATTTTTAAATATGATGAAAATAAAATTAATAATTAATATACTTATTGTATGGATAACACAGCAATTTTCCATATGCTGAAGTAAAATAAAATAATATAACAAATATTAATTGACTAAACAATTGGCCGATTCTACATAAAAAGTTCTACAAATGTTTGCAGCATATAAAGACGATTCGAATCAAATAAAAGTATGAAAAATTATGAAGAAAATCATTAGGGGTGGAATACACGGCACCTGCTTAATTTAAGTCCCACTTATTGCTGAAAAATAATATCCTTGATAAAGGCTAAAAATTAAAAACCAGGAGATGTGATGAAAAACTGGAAGTCTTCCAGTAAATGTGGGAGAGCTGGAAGCTTTGTATCTAGTTGCTGAAAGCAGCTGGTCTAGCTGGATTTCCAGATGTCTCTGGATTCTACTAGGACAGATGGTCCCAATGAATTTTTTGATATGACATCCTAAAACACATCTCCATTTAAAGCAGTCAACAAAACAGGCTTCCCTGGTGATCCTTCTAAATGAGACATTCTCAACTGTTGGTATGCATACACCTCTGGGGGTACATGATGGTGGAGTTAGGAGTATATGAAAAAATTACCAGCAATGGGAGAAAATAAAGTGTTACAATAAATGCTGATAAAATTCAGTGTTGAGAAAATTTACATTTGACAAAGATTAGAAAAAGAATCAGATTGATTAATTCTGATATGAAGGTTACTATCCGAAGTGCATTTAACCCTTTCCAGCACAGTGTGCCCAATCTGGGCACAACCAAAAAAATTCCCTCTGTACACACAGAAACATTGATAGGGTTTTATAGGTTACTTTTAACCTTTTTTATTAATGCTACATGGCAGCACAATACAAAACAGTCCACACATTTCAGCCATGTTTAGTTTTTAAAGACCCCATTTTTACAAAAAAATCTTCCAGATTCTTTTTAGGATATAAAAGGAATTGTTTGAAAAGAAACTTCTACGTTATTTTCTTGGCTGTATACTGATCTCTTCATTCTATATTAGTTTTAAATTTTTACATTGAAATCTTGCCTAAAATTGAAGGACCAACATCTGCTGTGCCCAGAAAGGGATCGCTAAAACACCAGACCAACAACTGTATCGCTGTTTCAATGCAGAATTTTCTTCCGCGAGTCCATTCAAAACAGAAAGGTGGGTGCATAGCTGCATTTCATTTCCTGTTTTCTTTTTTATTTTTTCTTGTTTCCATTTTGGTTTTTTGGGGGAGAGATTTAGTTATCAACTAAGAAATTGTTGGAATTTTTTTATGAAGGTTAGGGGTAATTTTATCAGTTAGCTCTTTGATTTTCATTAGAGCAGTTCTCCCATTTTCTCTCACTTTCACTGAAAAAAAGTTTTGTTAGCTTTACGTTTGACAGTTTATATTTTCTTAACTGTAGATATACTTAGTTTACTTTTTCTGATTTTTAATCAATTTTCAAATGGATCACAGAGGGGTTTTTTTTTATATGCATGTAATCATCATGTAAGTGCTTTGGGGGGGAATATAAAGTAGCAGGCATCCCTGTGGTGCAACCTGGATAATGCTAAATTTGCTACTGTAAACAGAATCTAGTGTTTTTTAATTATAGGAAAAATCTTTAACTCCATTACATTTTTTTATTACATACTTCCCAGCAATGCCTGCTTCAGCAATCTTTTTGAAGCTCTGTTCATTCAGCCAGTCTGTCTCGGGCACATTCACAAAATTAAAATGGTAAGTTATCTTTACAAAATTTGTTGTTGCTGCTGAAATTCCAACTTGTAAGGATAGCATGCCAGAAAGAGTTAAAAAGAATGTAATAAAAAAATGTTAAAGAAAATGCAGCTAGCCCCGCCGAACACTTTCGATATGGCATATGTGCTAAGCAAGTTTTGGGAAACCTCCTTTTCAAATGAGCTTGAAAATGCACAGTGATAAATGAATAGCTTCAATGACTTGCATAACTATCTTATTTTTTCAGAAGTAAATAAACTGAGCTTAGGTTTACTGAACAATTTCATAATTGTTTTCAAAGCATCTAACGAAACTGATGCTAGGCTCAAAAGCAGTATTAATATTTATCAATAGCAACTTAAGGCCCAGCTGAAAGGAAATGTGGCCATTAGCATTGATGGTACACTTGCTAAAATTAAATTCTCTTTGGAAAAAACAGAACAACCCTCTCCCGTATGAATGTATATATATTTGCATCTTTGTGATTACATCTATATCTAAAAACAAGACACGGCGAGAGATTTATTTATCATCCAAGGTCTCTTAACTGGGTCTGCAACCAGCTTCAAGAAATAACTGGGAAAACACAGTAATATCATTTCAGATATAATGAATAGAACAAAAATCAATAATATCACAATTTCTGTTATCAGCAATTCATCATTTGACCTTTCTTAACAGTGATAGGTTATTTAGTGAGCTTCCTATGGTGCATCAGGGTAAAATATATGGTTTTAATGAGTTAAAGACAGGAGCTACACTAATACACAGACACCAAATGACAATGAATTTTGAAGCAAGTTTAAAAAATGTGAGCTCTGAAGACAGGATTTTGAAATAGATAACTGTAGAAAACAGCAAACCAAGTTTTGAAAGATGAAGGTATCATTTGTGCCATAAATCCTGAGGACAATAAAAATTGCAGTGATGAGAGAGATCCTGAAGATGATTATGAAGCAGCAATGTGTGAATATAATAAGGTGAAAAAACAGCCATGTTGATGACAAGTTCTTTTATTTTTAGAGCAATGCCCTGATGCTTGTCCTATATATCTTTTATTGACAGAAAGATAGCTGCTGACAGAATTATAGGATTATAAAATAGGGCAATAATTTTTTTCAAAAATTCTTGTGTAAATATGTATGAAAGAAACTTGATAAGATTTCACAAGCCTCACAAATTTTCATGGGGATTTTTTATTTCAATTGTTTCACAAACCTTTTTGCCAGGAAATAAAATCTTACATGGAATTTAAATGTTTAATTAAGAGAAATAATTGTTAGTTAACAAAATATTTTGTTCAGGTATGATTTTTAATATTTGTGCACTTGTTTTTTAAATTTCAAAATTTCAAAAAACCTTGTGGAAAGAAAAACAGGCATGATTTAAAATTCAGTCTCTACTAGCCCAGTTTTTAATTACTTGAGGTTGATCACAGTCTCAATTGCCTTGGATAATCAAGGTTCTACTGTATTTCATTTTCAACCGTTTGCAAACTATGTTAAACATTGTTTACTTATAAGCACTACCATTGACACCTGTCATACAGAAATTTTACAAAATTGGCCCATACATAGCCTAGTTTTAAATAGTATTACTGGTAGAAAAATATACATACAACAAAAATCATGTTAAAAAACAGCTTACCTCCAGGTCTTTTTGATAACTTCAAGTACTCCTGAATATTCCTTATACTGATCTTGCAGCCTTGCTCTTATGACTTGATATGGATAAGTAACACTAGCAGCAAACAGTTTAGACAATGCAGCAAATGATAAGTACTGATTTGTACCCTATGAATAAAGTAATGTGAAAACATAACTAACACTATACATATCAAGACATTACAGAATCAGTAACAGATTTTTAGCCTACATATATGATCTAAAACTAAAAATTGATGCACCTATAAAATAATCTGATTGTAATAAAATGCATACTGCATTTTATTACAGTCAGATTATTCAAGTTAACATGCAAGTTACCATTCAAGTTTATATGCAAATGATTAAAATTTACATCCAATGAATGAACAGCCAAAGCTCCAACACATCAAATAAGAGCACATTGATGGCGTATTAATAAGCAAAACTTGATTTTCAAAGGTAAATTTCCATTAGATTTTAGGTGCAGCTACCCACCTCAAATGGAACACTGCCTCTCTGAAGTGAACTCATTATGAGCACATGTCATAATATGACAGAATCTAAGCATGAGACCAAAAGAAGGCAGGATGGAGATATAAGAAATAACTCAATATCTAGGTAGAGAGATGTAGTGATTAGATGAAGTTGACAGGAGTGGGTAAATAATGGCAGGCAGCAGTCGGTCTAGGGTAACAAAAGAACTTGATGGCAAAATGATTTTCAGAATGGCTCCTGAAGCACTCATTTTGTCTTTATCAAGATCTGATGTGCAACCCTCCATATAAATGAATGCTAGCAGCACTAACAACTAACTCAATAGTCTATATACTTATACTGCCCACTATGCTTTTACCCCTCACCAATGCACAACCTTGATGCGACTGCAGCAGTGCTGAGCTCAAGCAACATGGAACTGCACTAACTGGAGACGAATTTCTTCAGTGATGAGTTTCTGTTTTGAATTGAGTTCTGATGGCCAGTGTAGATGTGTCTGGAAACACCCAAGTCAGTGCTCAGATATACCTTTACTGCTGCATGCCATACAGGTGGACAATGGGAAATTAAAATCTGGAATCCACTCTCTTATGATAACCTCATTCCTCCTAGTCACTTACAAAAGTCGTCTCAAATTGGCAGCCTGCAGGCCCCATGAAGCCCCCAAAGCAATTTTATGCAGCTTGAGAATACATTTCCAGTAAATTAATTGCCATCATTATGACATTAATTATTATGGCAAGAATTTGGGTAAGGTTTAAGTTTTTTAATAATTTTTTGTTCCAATTTTACATTATTTTCATTGCCATTATAAATGAATGTTAAGTAATGCCCCTAAAAATTTACAGATGAAGCTAATTAATTTACACAATATCTTATTCAAAAATTTAAGGTTACATTTGATAAATCTTTTTTTGCACTTATCAAAAGACAAATACCCTCAGTTGTGATTTTTTGTTATAAAAATAAGCACTTTGTTTGGGAATACTTTTATATTTGAACAGTATTTTCCGCATTTGAAACTTAATAAATCTAACAAAAGAATCAGACTGATTGACGAGCATTTACAGTCTATACTAGTTTCTGGTAATATAAAAAAGTATATGCATGTTTCGACAAACATTTACTAATTTTTGCTCAATCTAGTTATTAGAAAAATTATTTTTTTTATTTTATTTTATTTTATTTTTTTATTTTTATTATTTATTTTTTTTCAATTGCAGGCCATTAGCTACTTTTAGATTGTGAGTTTGGCCCATGTGCAATTTCAGTTTGAGACCACTGACTTAGGGCCCCCTTATAACACAGAGGTTTGTTGAAAAAATTTTACAACCTGTTTTGTTGCTATTCCTTTCCTGCTCTGCTAGGCATACTTTTAAAAAAGATGTCTGGCCACACAAAGCATGCATTTCTATTAATTGTTTTGTGCTCGCCAAATATTTTCTTGGCTAGATCATTAGACCTATCTCCATGCAGCATATTTTGGGGTTCATGGGAAAACACTCTAATTAATCCAGAATGTTAGCAAATTATAACCTGATAGCTAGCAAGAAATTTCATGGAACACCATCTGCTGCTATGAATAGATGTGTCAAGAGATGCACTTACTAATGCCTTATTGAATTACTCATTTTGTATAGTTCTTCTTAAATAAAGGATCCACTTTTTCTGGAACTAATCTTTTCTATTATTCTGCCATTAAGTGCACATATATGTGTACCAAATTTTGTCACAACTCGAAAACTCCTTGGTATGTCAATCGTGTTTTAGAATGCATACATGGAAAATATGAAACTCATAAAAGAATTTTTACAGCATATATAACAGATTAGAAATTATACTTACTCCACAGGATAAATATTTGCACTTTAATAAAATAAATGGAATAGAACACAATACATTTTCTTCCAAAAATATCCTTCATAAAATAACTGAAGTTTTAGCTGTCCTTTAGAAGAATACCTTCGGCCATCATTACATTCAATTAACAACCTGTATCCCCCAAATAAATTTATTAAAAAGTATTATTTGGTTTCAAGAAAAATAAGAATTGCAGTTTTAAAAAATTTAAGCATTTCTAATCATAAAAATTTCAATGATGTTCTTTCAATTACTTAAAGCATATTTTAGACTTCACTCCCAAACTGGCATGAATTCTTTGAGCATTATAATTAATTCATAAATATATACATGGAATAAATTTGTAATTCAAAATAAAACATAAAATAATACATAAAATTATTTATGAGGCTACACAACATTTAGGTGAATATGGAAAAAGATTAAAAAGGAGGATATGGAATATTTACTAATTTATCATCAACTGGTAGTTGATAATAGCTTATATACTTCTTTTTCATTTCTTCATAAGCCATAAACTGTAGAGCTCCATGAGAAACCCCAAACATTCCAGGGACAAGACCCTAAATATAAGAAACCATTTTATTAATATTTGCTATTACATATTTTTAAAAATTCAATTTTTTAAAGATTTTTGTCGATATTGCATTTGTCTTTCACTTCCAAGCAGTCACTCCTAATAACACTGATAAAAGTGAGGTTTGGAGCCCAAACTCCACTGACATGGTATGTGCGAAGGAATAAATGTTACTGAACTTATTAATGATGCATAGCGTACAAAATTTAAAACGTAATGCTACAAGAATTTTCTTTATGCATACAGAGCAGAAAAACAACTTGTTGAATTGGTTATTGCGTTAATATTTGATGATTTACTTTTCATTTTATACCAGTAATTAAGCAATACAGTAAAGATAAAAATTTACAATTTAAGGCATTTTTAATCTTAGACAATGTTTCAGGACACCCAAAAATCTCTGTAGAATTTATACCTGGACATCAATGTTGTGTTTTCTTTCCCAATACTATCTGCCTCATAGAACCCATGGATCAAACACTGATAGCTACTTTTAAACTCTATTATATTAGTACAATAATGAATCAGGCCATCAAGGCAACTAGTAAGGAATTTGGCCCACATTTTAGAGATTTTTGGAAGACTATAATATATGCAATGCAATAAACAATACTGAAGACTTGAGAACCAAAATAAAAACATCAACAAATAAAAAGCTTCAGGAAACAATTATACCCACAAATTATGAGTGATTTTATAAATTCCCAGGTAATTCCAGAAACTAACATAGATGAAGTCATTAGCAGACTTGCCAACCTAAGACACTCAAAAATCAGGAGATTTTTTGGTACTATTCTGTTTTGAGGACCGTAAAATATTGCAGCGAAAATGTATACACAAAAGCGCCAAATCTAACAAACGCGCCCATTTAACAGCGCGCCAAATCTAGCGTACGCGATGATTTCAGGTTGCGTAAGTTTATATAAGTGTATATAGTTCTATATTCCTTATGACGTCATTGAAATACTAGTTTAATTTTTAAATCCTTTTTTGATATCCTTTGGATTCAACAATTTGGGAATTGCCCGTGACGAAAAGTCTGCAATAGAATTTCGAGTAAAGTGCAGAATCACCCACTGCTTGACGCTTTTTTAAGAATTGCACATACTCGGTATCCATGTACACATCGACCTATTTTCATTTTAAAAAAAATCCCAGAATTGCACAAAAATGGCACTGTGCACACCCTTGACTTTATCTATGTACACATCGACCTATTTTCACATAAAAAGTAAAAGAAAATTGACAAAAATCCAATTGTTTTTGCCCTTGTAAAAAGCGGCAAACAAATAAGTGGGCGATTCTGCACTTTACCGAGAACTTTTTCATAGAAAAGGTATCATTCATTATAGAAAATTATGTTTGAACAACCAACAAGGTGAAATTATGCTTGATAACTCGGTAGCAAAATAGCAATGCAGGCATCCATTCAGTTATGTTTAGCAATTTTTATATAAATCATAAAAATGATCTGAAATAGTTATTTATTCTTATGCTTCCATTCAATCATGTTTAGCTTTTCTTGTATAAATTATAATAATAAAAAAGTATTATACAAAATTAACATTTCATCTAAATTAAAACATCCATCTTAGATAGTTATTTACTATTATACTTCCTTTCTTGCGTTAGGGTTGCCACAATTATTTTTGGCAGCACTGGCATCAAGAATAGTTTGGCGAATTTTTATGGCCCTCAAAACTGAATAGTACCGATTTTTTTAATAGAAATCAGGAGATTTTTCTCAATGACTAAACGACTTTTCAAATGATAAAAGTATATTTTTTAATAACGAATTAACTTTAAACAAATATCTGAAAGTTCAGTTATTAATTCTTAAACGCAAACAGTAGAAAAATACTTACCTGTAGAAAACATTTTTATTATTTGCATCTTTTAACAAAAAATAATATTTTAATCAGTTTTCATGCAAATACTATTAACAGTGACAGATTTTAGAACTCCTCTCAAGATAATAATAAATACCAACAATGTTCGTCGACATTTATTGGTAAAGAAGCTGCTCCTTTTTCTGCAACTGCTAAGCAATTATCCAGATAAATTGCATTTTCGTTTAAAATTTTATTAATTAGCTGTACTATATTAAAACCTGTTAAATGTCCTTCTAAGTTGGGAACAGAAAGTAAACTACACTCAATTTCTGAAGAAACTGGATTAAAATAAAAAACAACAATTGGATACAATTTTGAATCGGTATTATTGTTTCCATCCGTAGAGATGCAAAATGGAGCTGCTTTGTCTTCTGCCTCGCTACAAAACCTCTAACATCACCAAGTTCCAAAATGGATGCACAACTTTAAAGTTGAATTTATTCTCTACTTTTTATTCTCCCATTGTCATTCCCATGTATTTCACACCATAGAAAGTTTCACATGTTCGCTTATTCAATTCATTAGAGTCGGGGGCTTATTAGTAAGCCTTAATTTTCTAATTTTAAAGCTGACCTTTTTTTACTATTATTGCATAGTTATCTTTCTCCAGCATATTATATTTTTAAGTGTCCAAATTTTCAAACACCTTCAGTTTTCAAAAAGTTGGAATACAACAAAAACTGCTAAAAATGCATGCATATAATGGAAATTTCATTTAGATCACTGAAAGTGTTTTTTTTTTTTTTTTTTTTTTTTTTTTTTTTTTTTTTGAGGGGGGGGGCAAATGATTGAGAACTACACTGAAAAGTCTGAAATCTAGACATCCAATATTTGGAATGATTTAAATCCAGACTTCCAAGCATTTTCCTCCTGAATGCTTTATGCATGTTTTACATTTTTTCATAACAAAACATGCAGACAGTCTCAATTCTTAATTTCACTTTGGCACTTATAAATCTCCTCCATATGAAAGAAACAATTATTGATTAGCATAAATCAATATCACCAATAACTTAACTCCTCCATTGCCACCTTTCTGTTTGGCATATATCTCAAACTGAAGCATTCTACATTGAATATTGTTGATTTTACACCTATTGAATAATCTGCTTTCAACACCACATACTATCAACATACAGCAGCTTGAGAAAGGACAGCAATGTTTAAGTCCCCCTCCCCCCCTTTTTTTAGTAAAAGATTAGTAACGGAATACCAAACAGCACAGTAACCTTTTACGTTGACTTTATGCTTGGCTATGATTACAGACTTTCACTAAATGCACTGCGAAGTGTTGAGTACATTGGTGAAGATAAATTTAACCTAAATTTCTTTTCACATGCAAAAAAACAGATTTTATTAATGATACTCTCAGCTGAATGAAAACATTTAGTGCTGTCTAAATTAAGAACAATTGATTTGTTATTCAGACAAGCCCAGAACTGTGCACCAAGCGGCATAATTTCGGGTAGGCAAAATCCTTAGGATATCAAGAAACATTAATCAACAGAATTAAGGGATGGCAAAATCTTTACAATTTACAGAAGGCACTGTAACACAAAAGATGGCAAAGATTTTAGAATTTAGGGAGGGGCTTGGCAGCAGAAAGGTCCCACAGAGCCAGGCAAAAATGTCACCAGTCCAACCACAAAATGACTAGCAGTAACACTGGGTATGCTTTAAGTACATGTGGTAATTTATTTATTTGGGATACAAATGAGCCTTAAACAAGTGCAGAAAATAGACATAAGTATAATAAATAAACTATTATAATTCAAGCTTAATTTAGTCAGCATGCGAAAGAAACGACACAATTTATTGGAACAACATGTCTTCAGTTACCAATCTCATGATATATTGCCAGAAGAGCATAGCAGACACTAATTAACTTTTATTATGACAATCACCAATTTGAAGGTTTTCAGGTACTACAAACAAAAAGTGAAATTTTCCAATTAATGAAATTTATGAAGAAACATGGAGAAGTAATAAATGATCATATAACATTGATTGCAATAACAATGTCCAATCATCAGTTAACCAATGGACAGAATTTGTAGGACAATTTGAAATCGAGAAAACATTTATATTTATTCATATGTTGTATTAAATAAAATCTGTGACAGGATATTTCTGACATATATTATTTGAGGTAAGTCAACATTTATATTCGCTAAAACTGATTATTTTATAAAATGTTTAAGGAAAATATAAAGTTTAAAAATTAATTCTGATAACTACTACATGAGCACGCCTCTCATAATGTATCAAAAATTGGAGCAATTGTGCAATAAATTTATGTCCATTTTTTTTTTTTTCAAACTTAGGCAGCAATATAACATGAATTGTCTGTCCCCACAAGGCAATGCATCCAGCTACCGCACCATCCTGAGAGAGCAGTTCGGTGAATCAGGTGACAGTTCTGAACCAGTGCTTGACTATATGCCTAATCAGGCTCACACTGGTCTTCATCGGACAGCACCAGACTGCCACTTACTTTCACTGTTAAAATATCTACCCAAGCAACTTACAAAACTTAACTGTTAATTTATAGTCATGTCCAAAAGTTAAGCAATAAAGTGGAAAAAAAAGGATAAAAAGAAAAGTATTTATTCTAACTCTTTGAAACTTTCACATATGATGGATGTAATAAAAAAAACTAGCAATGGGAAATATGTGGCTGGTACATCGTGCAGCTATACCACAGGTCCGGGATTCAATTCCCGGGCTGGGCAAGGTTGACTAAGCCTTTCATCTCTTGAATGGGTTGATAAAATGAGTACCAAGTTCACTTAGGGACTAAACATCGGGGTTCCTGCGACAAGCTGACCACTTGCCCAGGGCATATGCTAATCACTCCAAGGCCCAAGGTCAAGAAAGCAGATTTTGGGACACTGCAGGCCGTGGCCCACTAGGGCTGTTGCTGTTGAGTTTAGTTTTTAGTTTTAGCAATAGGAAATATAAAGAAAATGACCATTAAACGACAGTGGTAAAGAGGTCTGTCTATATATAGAACATGATATCTTCTGCAGGAAACACGTGCCCAACAGCATCAATTTATGCCAAGAATTTATGGCAATTCAGGATATTTCTGCTCATTTATGCAGAAGCATTCTTAGCTCACACTTTCTGTCCATGACTCCTCTCAGGAGGCAGTCATGGACAGAAATTAATTGTATTCCATACATGTTCAATGGGGTACAATATCAGTAATCCTGATGGCCATTCTATAAAAAGCAGTATTCCCGATTCTAACAGGCAACAATGATAGCCCCAGAAAACTTGTGTAGCATTATTCATAAAAATATTTAAACATAAACGACTGGTCATCTTGTGTACAATTGACTTGTATGCACGCATGTAAACAGTTTTCAGATACAGCTCTTCTTAACACTACAGAGCTGATGAGCAGAAAACAAGCTGGATGAGCAGTGACAGAAATCTAGTATTGTGACGGCATATACAGAATGTGATCATTCTCAACAAAAATGACCACTGGCCATCCAATTACTGATATAGTTGCTTCACTCCAATACCACACCCATAGGTAACACGATAGAAAAATTTACTTTTAGGGCTCTGACTACACCCCGCCCCTTTCAAGACATCCTTTTCCCCCAAACCAGCCCCTTTCAAGACATCATTTTTCTCCCCAAACATTTACCATTACTTACACGATGTTATTTCACAAAATTCAACCCATTCTGACTTTCTTCCTAAAATCTGTAGTGCAAAGACACAGACTTTACGCGCGCACACACACACACACACACACAAAAAAGTTGTTTTTATAGTAACATGTTTCTTAGTTATAAAATGGCTTGCAAAATGTTTCCTGCAGGCTATTAGGCACACATGCACATCTTACATATATACGCATATTCAGCTATGAAACTAACAATGGCTATAATGCTGTTTTTATAGCTGAACATACTATTTCCATTTGTTGCTTTTATGAAGACCAATATAAATTAAAACCCTACAGGCTGTAAAACAGAATTGAAATTAAGATACAATAAGATATTTAAAATTTTAAAAATATGTCGGAATATTTTCAAAAATAAATTACATTTGGGGGGGGGTAAGAAGAAGGCAATCAAAAACAAAATTTACCTTATACATGCCGGGAATACCCTCATGTCTATATACTTTCACTAGAGCATCTAGCATCCCAGTATAATGTTTGGATGGTGGCAAGCCTACAGTTGTAGAATACTGTAAACACATTCTTGTTTTGACCACCCATATTGGATTAGTAATAAAAAGTGTAATTACACCTAAAAAAAAATAAGATTTCATATTAGAAAAACAACTATTTAATTTTACCATCAAGCATCAATGCATTATAATAAATGATACATATGGTTATTTTTACACACAATACTATACTGCAAAACAAATATTTAAGTATAACAGTGTTAAATATATTTGATATACCTCCTGTCTGTCAGGAACTGAAGTAAGATTTAGCACGTTACGCTTTTAAACTGGTAGCCAATATTATATTAGACTTTACACAAAAACTGTTTTTACAATGCTTCCTCAAATACATACAGAAATATATAGAAAATCTCAGCAAACACTAAATGTGATTAATTATAAGCTGATTTAATGGCTTTTATCACTTATGCTGGCAAAAACATTTTAAATAAAGAAGAATTTATCACAAATACATAGAGCTGAAATCAATACTTAATTTTTTGTCAAAAGAAGAACTAAATGTTGCAAAATTTTATAGTTTTTTCTCATTTTTTCTAATTAAATTCCTGTTATGAAAGTAATATGACAACTTTTTAACACCTTGAGTGAGTGAGATTATTTACACAAAATCAAAGATGATTATAATGGGCCAACTGAGAGTATGATATAATTTGATGACTTCAAAGTAAATTATTACTAAATAAAATAGGAAGGTGGACAAATGTACCAAATCCAGAGGATGAAGTCACATGAAAACAAGGTAAAAGCACACAAGTGGTAAACATTAAAATACAATTTTCTAAATTAGATTAGATAGTAAAAGCCAGTCTCTTTTAAATAATAAAATTAATTACAGATGATCCCTCTTCCAATTAAACGGTTGAAAGGTAAGTCACAGCTATTAAAATATTTCTGACGAAGACTATTAAAACATGAACACTCAATTAAAATATGATGGACTGATAAACAAACATTACAATTTAAACAAACAGGCTCATTCTCAGCTTTCAAAAGGTAGTTATGTGTCACTCTAGTGTGACCAATTCTAAGGTGAGTCACAAGAACTTCCTCCTTACGATTTCTAGTAGAACCCCAAAGCTCAAGTCTAGGCTTTAAACTTCTCAACTTGTTATGAATCTGAATGTACCAAAGTCGCTGCCATTTTCTTACAATTCTCTCTCTGACGACAGTACAGATATCTCTAAAAGAGATGAGGTGACTGGATAGTTTAAAAGCAGATTTCACTGTGATACCTGCCTGTTCATTACCCTTTATGCAGATGCCCGGGGACCCAGCAGTACAAGATTTCATATCCACGACTCGTTAAGTGTACATTTAACTTGAGAACGTTAACTATTACCAGTTCCTTAGTGTTGCAGACGGCTTCTAACTCCTTCTGAGTACTACACAAGTTTGAATTATAAACTTTTTCTGACAAGAGTTTTGAGATGTACAAAAGACCAAAATATATTGCAGTTAGTTCAGATACTAAGACCGAAATGCATGGTGTAATATTTAACCTTGATACCTCATCTAAGTAGCAATAATAATGATTCCTATAAAATAAAACATGGAGGAAGATATGGTGAGTAAAAGAAAATTACATCAAGAAACTGTCATTTCTAAACATACTTCAAATTGTTTGTTCGCCTTATTAAAAGAAAGATGTTTTAAAGAATTCAAGCATCCGAGATGAAATCGGCAAAATAGTCATTTTTATGTTTCCGAGATAAATAATTTATGTAACTTGATATCACACAAGCAATTAAAATTTTATAAGATTCAAGCAAAATATTTTGAGACAAAATCTGATGTAAGCAAAATCTTAGGGTTTTGATATGCATAAATAAAAATTTGTCCATTTGTATTAACCCTAAACCTCAGCAGCCAAGTAAAATTTATGCATACACTTGATTCCACCCCTTCTTGTACCTAAATGACATATATATATATATTTTTAATATGCATGTTACTATCTCTTTCAGTTATTATTACACAACAATGAATGTTTCTACTAGGAATATTTTAATACACAAAGTTTTTAACAAGCAATTCCGGAAATACACATGCTCTGTCATAAAATTTACAACAGTTTGGGAATATTTTTACCCCCAACTTTAGTATTTTAGGATTAATAAACACAGATTCAGATAAGTATTTTAATTTGTTATTATCTATTCCAAATATCATTAAAAATAATGTCTTTTATAGCTTTTTTTTTTTTTTTTTTTTTTTTTTGTGTGTGTGTGTGTGTACTAAGCTTTCAGTAAAGAATTTATGTGAATAAATCTGTTTCAAGCTGCAAAATTTACAATGCTTTATTCTCGGTTGATCTTTACATTATGGTAACTTGGCGTTTTTTTGGCGAAAATTTGGCGACCAACTCTCCTACAGCAACCCTCTATTTTTTTTTTTCCCGCCGCCATTTTGTCTTCACGAAGTAAAGACATGTTTCTTTTCTTTTTATCTACTGAACACTTCTTCCAACAATCTACTAGCCGAATTACACTTATGCTAGAAATTTTATCTAACAAAACTGCTTAATCATGATAAATATTCACTGCAAAATTGGGAAAAAGTGCACAATACCATACTCCTTACGCGTTTTTCAAAATAACACTACACATAAACCATGTACACGCCGACTTATTTTTACTTAAAAAAAATCCAGAATTGCACACAAAATGGCATTGCGCACACTCTTCACTATATCCATGTACACTGCTTTTTTCTCATAAATTAGAAAAATTTCACGAAAATACATGACAATTTTTCTCAATCTTTAACCCGGTAAAAAAACATATATGAAATTACCTGATCGCGAAAAAGTATTTACCCTTTCAAATATGAACATTTCCACATATAAAATAAATAAAATATCCAAAAAACTTTTACCTCTAAATCATCTATTACTTATACACGTCACCAACGAATTCATACGCAAGCATTACAAATACTTAGTATCAAATATTTAAATTATTTCCATGCACGTTTACTTCAACTTAACGTGTACCAAATTCCTACAAACATAAAATTCACAAAATAACTATCATTTAATTAAATATCACTAAACCATGTACACGTCGACTTATTTTTACTTAAAAAAAAATCCCAGAATTGCACAAAATGGCATTGCGGCACACTCTTCACTATATCCATGTACACTGCTTTTTTCTCATAAATTGAAAAATTTCAAAAAATACATGACCAATTTTCTCAATCTTTAAACCCGGTAAAAAGAACATATATGAAATTACCTGATCGCGAAAAAAGTATTTACCCTTCCAAATATGAACATTTCCACATATAAAATAAATAAAATATCAAAAACTTTTACTCTAAATCATCTATTACATTATACACGTCACCAACGAATTCATACCGCAAGCATTACAAATACTTAGTATCAAATATTTTAAATTATTTCCATGCATGTTTACTTCAACTTAAACGTGTACCAAATTCCTACAAACATAAAATTCACAAAATAACTATCATTTAATTAAAATATCACTAAACCATGTACACGTCGACTTATTTTTACTTAAAAAAACATCCCAGAATTGCACAAAAATGGCATTGCGCACACTCTTCACTATATCCATGTACACTGCTTTTTTCTCATAAATTAGAAAAATTTCACGAAAATACATGACAATTTTCTCAATCTTTAAACCCAGTAAAAAGAACATATATGAAATTACCTGATCGCAAAAAAGTATTTACCCTTTCCAAATATGAACATTTCCACATATAAAATAAATAAAATATCCAAAAACTTTTACCTCTAAATCATCTATTACATTATACACGTCACCAACGAATTCATACCACAAGCATTACAAATACTTAGTATCAAATATTTAAATTATTTCCATGCACGTTTACTTCAACTTAAACGTATACCAAATTCCTACAAACATAAAATTCACAAAATAACTATCATTTAATTAAAATATCACTAAACCATGTACACGTCGACTTATTTTTACTTAAAAAAACATCCCAGAATTGCACAAAAATGGCATTGCGCACACTCTTCACTATATCCATGTACACTGCTTTTTTCTCATAAATTAGAAAAATTTCACGAAAATATATGACAATTTTCTCTATCTTTAAACCCGGTAAAAAGAACATATATGAAATTACCTGATCGCGAAAAAGTAAATGAACATTTCCACATATAAAATAAATAAAATATCCAAAAAACTTTTACCTCTAAAAATCTCTATTACATTATATACACGTCACCAACGAATTCATACCGCAACCATTTACAAATACTTAGTGTCAGATTTTTAAATTATTTCCATGCACGTTTACTTCACAACTAAAACGTATACCAAATTCCTACAAGCATAAAATTCACAAATAACTATCATTAATTAAATATAATTAAATTCAAAAACACTACTTAAAATATGATGAGCACATACATAAATTAATACATACATAAATACCCATTTCGAATTCACTTTAGTTACGGCCATGGGATCCAAAAATTCACGAACACTGTTTCACACAACACAGAATAAAGCCAAATACAAAATTTCCCAGATTTTTTTTTCCCGATTTCCCCTTTTCCCGATTCCGAAAAAAAAAAAAAAACCGTATTCATTCATCCATTAATATCACATGACATATCCCATGATCTCTCATTCTCTCATTTCCCTCACACAAAATAATGCGTAATCGGAACTGAGTACTGCTCACATTATTACCAAAGTGCCAGGTAGTAACCTTTATCGCCTCCAAAATGTCGCCAAACTACCAGTTACCATATTGTAAAGATCAACCGACAGATTCTTGCGTGACTTGCTGTCATCAAATAAACCAAACCAAACACAAACCAATTAACTGAAATTTGACTGTACCCGTAAATTGAAGTCAACTGGAACTCGCACAAAAATTAGGTTCTGAGATTGCTTACGATACACACGGAAACGGAATCACTGTTTGAATGATCTGCTGTATAGATCTGTTAATGGAGGAGGTGAGAGAAATCGCAGAGAGAGCGAAAGCATTCCCAAGTAATATCTTCTTTTGTTCTAGGTCATGCTGAGAGATTCTTTCAAGGCCGTTCTTTCTTTCACAGAGACGATGCAATAACTTAAATACTTTTCGAGAATTTTATGATTTAAAAAAAAAAAAGAGAGAAAGAAGGTTGTTATGTAGCACATCATTTCTTCATGAAAACAACAACAATGCAGGTTTGTCAAATGCCAGGATGAACTACTAGTACACAACAATTGTGTGAAAAGAGAATTTGGTACATGAACTTTGAAGACTGATAAGGTAAATTACTTTTTTTTTCCTTAGAAAACAATTCTTTCAGAATGATGCAAAAACTAGATTGTATCGAGTTCTGGAAAACGTAGCTTTATTCAGAAAATTGGCAACATAAAACCCGATTTTTACACTTTCAGCGATTCAAAAAAAAAGGGGGAGGACATAGTTTTGCGTTAATACAAAGATAAGAAACTCATTTTTTAACAAATTCCAGCAAACCTGCTCAATCGTAATTGTCGGCATTTATTACTATGACATTTGAACTTACTTTTTCTAAAATATCGTCTGCTTAGAAATAGAATTTCATATCAGTTAATCGTTTGCTTTAATCCAGAAAATATCTACTGTCATGTCTCCAAAAGCTGAGCAAAGAATAAAAATAAAGCTTTGCTGTGAAGCGAGAATAAACGCAGACTTTTTTAAACAAATAGTGACTGGAAATAAGCATTTTACTGGTGATTTGGAGACTATTTTCCTTAGGTTTCCATTTGGTACGAATTTAGACCTAAAACGTTTCAGGCACATTGTGGAGCTATAAAAAAGGAAGTCTTGTTGGCATATAAAGAAATAAATAAAATCTGAAAGCTTTCAGATTTTACATTTACGCCCAAAGGAGCGGTTTTTTTTTTAACGTTTTGTGGGTTACCTTTATTTATTAAATATCATGTTCTTCGCACTTAAACCATAAAATTCAGTTTAAGAGCAATATCACAAAATAATTTTAAAAAATCTGATGTGTACACCACATGACTTCCTTGTATTGGAATATTAAATTATACGCATTTTTCTTGCATTTCATTTAAACTTATTGGATTGAATTAAATCTACTATCTCGTCCCAACAGCGCATAAACCACAATAAAATAAATGCATTCTTTAAAATTCACTCTAGTATTTGTTTACCATAGCGACACTCTGGCACTAGATTCACTTAACAGTATTAATAATTATATAACAGTTAACTTATATAATAATTATGTAACTGAAACTAAGTTAACTGTTATATAATCCAATAATTATATAACAGTTAACTTATGTATTTCGTTCATATTATAACTCATAATGCACAAAATTTATATCATTTAAAGAAAAGAATTATCTAATCGTTGCCACATGTTCTATTCAAATACTATAATAAAGCTAGAATGATGTATAAAAGAAATTTAGCAAACAAACAAAAAAAAAAAAAAAACAGTTTTTCACAGATGATTGAGTATTTCTTATTTAATTAATTCAGTTCTCCCTTCGCGAGAAGGCAAAAATACATAAAAACTCAAAATATCTATATTAAAAATTACGAAGTAAATCTCAAACACTTATTTCCTCGAAAAATTCCAGAAAGAATTAAGCATGATTTAATTGGCAATAATAAATGAATGCGTTATCTTTGTTGTTGCGAAGCTAAGTTTCTCTAGATTGGCAAACAAATCCACTAGTCTCCTGTTTCAAATGTAAACATCAATGGCCCGCCATTTAAAAACAGGCTTTAGCGGCAATTAAACAACTTTAAAATTGCTGATAATTCTAAAAATATTGCACACAGATTTACTAAAGCATAAATCCTTAACCGGAAGATAAAAACAAATTAATTCAATCATTTTTAAAGCAAAAAATGTACAATTTACAAACATATAAGAGTAAAGAAACTTAGATTACTGAGCCGGGTAACAGAGTGGATATATATATAAATATATTTATATACGTTTGGTGAGGCCAATTGCAGCCAAAATACGAGGTGCACATCTACATGTTATAGCAGTCCTATATACAAAATTTCAACGTTCTGAGGCTACTCGTTTTTGAGTTATGCGAGATACGTACATACGTACCTACATACGTTCGTACAGACTCCACGAAAAATTCTCTTTAGAATTAATTTTAAAGCAGTTTTATAATTTTTTTGAAGGAAAAAGAGTATTTTTATTCGTCCTTACGTACAGATATCACACGCAAAAAAACATCGTTAAATTGCATTCGATAGCGGTCAAAATGGATATTTTCGTTGAAATATGCTACCTGAAACTTTTCGCGATTACAATACTTCCTTTTTACTTCGTACAAGGAAGTAGAAACATCCCAGAATTGCACAAAAATGGCATTGTGCACACTCTTGACTTTATCCATGTACACTGCTAAAGTCTTAGCTAGTAACCTTTATCGCCTTACCAAAATGTTGCCAAACTACCTGTTACCATATTCCAAAGATTAGCCCAAAATATATGCAATACTTCACATATTCATATAGCAATACTCATATAACAGTACAGCAAATTAATTAATGAAACTATTAGTAAAAATCAGAATTAAAATATACCTTTGCCAAAAAAATCTGCTAGTACAATAAGTGATTAGGTACAAACTGTGCTCTGAAATGCCAGTCTGCTAATTTAATGTGATTTTTTAAACTATTATGTGGCACTGTATGAAATGTAGGAAAATAATAATACATTTGGTTAATCTTTGGATTATGGTAACTTGGTGATTTTTTGGCGAAAATATGGTACAGCAACCTGCTAGTTTTTGTTTGGACGCCATTTTGTTTTCTCGAAGTAAAGGCATTTTTTTTTTTTTTTTTAAACTCAACATTTCCAACATTTTTTTCCAACAATCTGCTAGCCGAATTACGCTTATGCTAGAACTTTTATGGAATAAAAGTGCTTAATCATGACGAAGATTAGGTGCGAAATTGGGACAAAGTGCAGAATCGACCACTGCTTGCCGTGTTAAATTGCATTCACATACATTGTGTATGTGCACTGAGTTGCACATACACGGTATCATCCATGTACACGTCGACATATTTTCACTTAAAAAAACATCCTAGAATTGCACAAAAATGGCATTGCGCACACTCTTGACTATTTATCCATATACACTGCTAAAGTCCTAGCTAGTAACCTTTATTGCTTTACCAAAATGTCGCCAAACTACCTGTTACCATATTCCAAAGATTAGCCATACATTTTTCTGCACTAACCTAAAAAATTATCATTTCTAAATGTATAAAAAATGGTTTATTAGCAATACAAATAATTCAAATTACTCATAATGAATAGAACAGATATATTAACTGTAAAGTAAATAAATTTACACAATATAATACTTCAAGCAGTTCTAGAAACACAAATGCTACAAAATGAGCAAACCTGCTTCAGCAGCTGCTAACATATGACTTCCAGCACTTAAAGTCTTCTTAGTATTGCCATCTAACATCCAAGTTTTGATTGCATTGTAACTGTAAAAACCAAACAAATACATAAAGCAACACACCAATAATACATTCAACACAGATTTTTTTTTAAACTCTTTATCATTTGCACAAAAAAATGTCTCTTCTAATTAACGTAATTTCCGGAAGAAAGGCTGCATAAGTGTAAATGCCACACTCGAGAAAAATGGTGGAGGGGGAACTAAAATTACACAGAAACGCCAAAATAAATTCAGTTGCACATGACATTGCTGTAGACCTTATTGATGCAAAATTTTGACCTATTCCTGATATATGACATATCAGTTAAGAAAAATGCATGAAATGAAACCATAACTCAAAAATAAATTATGGGCAAGAAATTTTGAAAATACACACTTATGTTCATGAATAAACTTAAATTTATGCACTAAAGAATATTTGTATTACTCACTAATATTTGCATTACTACCACTAATATTTGTATTACTCATATTATAAAAAATATCACAACAACGAGATATTAAATGACAAATGGAAATTTTAAATTTTACATACAAAGCAAATTGCCCATCATATGAAGCCATATAAATCTGATTCTTCACTATCTGAATTAAAAAAATTTAACAAATTCTGATCTAAATTTCAGCTTCTTTGAACACTGTTGTTATTGATGATGTTTTCACCGATTTCCCTTTCTACCCACTTTGCAACTTCTTCATAAGATGCTCTATGCATTTTGCCACTTTTGGTATATGTATGCTAGCCTTCCCTCACCCAACACTCCCACTGCTTTTGGACTTTCAGCTTTGAAGAATTTATTAACTGCTAAATCTAACCGTTGTAAGATTTTTGTCAAACCACCAGGAATTATTACTAAGGTCGTAGACAGTTTTTAAACATCTGGTTTTCACTGACTCAAGTACATGAGAACGCATGGAATCCATTATCAACAACCCTTTCGGTTGGAAAAAAGATCCTTTACGACACTGCCAAACTTTTTGTAGTCACTCATGCATCATTACTTCGCACATCCATTCATTCTCATTTGCACAAATAATTACGTCATTAGGAAAATCTCCCTTCGGAATAGTTTTCCTTTTAAAAATGATCATAGGCTTTAGCTCGCACAGTTTGCAGCACAAGCTAACACGAATATAGTTTTTGCACCAGTTTCATCAACAGTTCTGTTTGCATGAGAGTCAAAAGCTAACAGCGTTTCATCCATATTTATTATCTGTGATGGAAGAAGTTTTTGTTCATCAATAATATTTGTCACATATTTTAGAAAAGAAGCTTTTTTATCCAGCCAGTCCATTGGTTATTGTTGTCCAACTGTTGTTCCAGTTCGTATAGAAATATTTTTTCTTTTCGTAAATCTGTTACACCAGCAAGGTCCTCCTTTGAAATCATTATGTTCATTTTTTTCATCATAAATTTTGCTTGTAAGCAAATTTGTACAGTTGAAATTCCCATCCTCTTTCCTTGTTGCTTCTTTATCTGGTTTACAAGGTTGTCCTCTATATTTGGCCACCTTTACAGTACCACTTCTTTTGGCTCGTTTCTGTTGCGGCATATTTTTAAGTTCTTCTGTCGAATGCATCTCTTGTCCACTTCAAACTCTTGAACTGCTGCTCTGTTTTTAATTTGTTCAGCACATGAAATTACATTAAGCTTAAAACCAGCAGTGTAGCTTCTGTGCCATTTAGATGCCAATTTCAAAATTTTTCCGCTCCCTTCTTATTTAAAAACTATCCATGAAAAATTGATTCGTGCTGAAGTGAAAACACGTCAGAGTTCGTTACTGTAATGCAGGTGGAGTCGTGTCTGCCTCTGAAAAAAAATCACAGTAGATTTACAATACAAAAAAACAAGATAGGTCCCGGAAGATTCATCCAATGGCAGAGAAGAAGGACTATTTAAACTGATGAGAATGCTAATTTGAAAGAGGGAAGAATGTTATTGTTCCGAGATCCCATTTAGGGTGAATAAGGCATGTAGGTCTGTTCAAAGGAAAGAATATAAACAAAATAAAGTTTGCAGAAAGCAACTGAGTGGTCTTTTTTGTGGGAATAGCTAAGCGCACATAAGTGGCGCATGGGCAGAAACGCCATACCCGCTGAAAATGTAAGTTTTAAACACGTAAATGACGCAGTGTTTCTTCTGGAAATTATGATAAAAAATCTATCATTTAGGCACATTTATTTCCCAGATAAATGAAAAAGTGAAATTATTGTTACCAGAATGTGCATGTAACCATGTAACTAACAGTGTAAAATCGTACTCTTTTTGGTAACAAACTCTGTTAGATCCTACTAAGGAACCTGGTGTTGCATAATCGAGAAAATATTGTTAAGAATTTTATTATTACTATTTTTTATTATTATTGTCTATTTTTCAAAAGTGTGTTTTTGTTTTATTATTGTGTGAAGTTGTAACTATATGTCTTTTCTTGTGTGGCAACAACGCTTCTGTAATTCTTCAATTTGAACTTTTGGATGTGTGCCAAGTTTGATGGCGTAATGCTCTGGTGAGAGCGTCGATTGATTGTGTGTAGATGAAACATGTTGTTTCAGAACGTTATTTCTTTAAAATATGTAAAATAAATGTTTTGTTTTCTGAACTCGGATTATGCAAACGTTATTTAGTTTCAACATAAAAGTTTGGCGTCCGTTTGACAGGACGTTTGTGTGATTTCGAGTAGTTTTGATTTAGGCGTTTTGTTAAAATGGAGTTGTTAAAGGCAAAACGTAAAAGTGAACGTACTTCGTTTACGTTAACTACGAAGATTGTGGAAGAAGAATTGCCTACTTGTACGGATCCTGAGAGATTGCAAGTGTTGTTGGGGCAACTAATTGACAAATTTGAACGCTTGGACAGTACTCAAAGCAGTGTTTTAGAACAAACCAAGGAAGCTGATTTCGAGAATGAATTTAATACGGCTGAAGGATACAGAGATTCCTTTATAGCTTTAAAGGTGAAACTTCAGAATAAAATTGGACAATTGAATTCGATGAATGTTACTACAGATATTGCTTCAGTTTCGATTTCGGATCCTAAAGAAAATAAAAACAGGAAGTTCAAACTTCCTAAACTTGAACTGAAAAAATTTTCTGGAGATGCAAGAGAATTTTTTAGGCTTTTGGAGCCAATTCTCCAAAATTCATGAAGATGCGGATATTGTGCCGGAAGATAAATTTTTTGTACTTAGTGCAAAGTGCAGTACCTGGCTCAAAGGCAGCTCAACTTTTGAACAGTTTTCCTGTTACCTTACCGCCGCGAATTATCCTAAAGCTATCGAGCAGCTGAAAGAAAGATTTGGTAGAGAAGACCTTCTGGTGCAGATCTATGTAAGAGATTTGCTTGGGCTTGTTACAAAGAATGCTACAACAGGCAGAACGGCGTCGGACTTAGGAGTACTTTATGATAGTATAGAAAGTAAATTACGAGCGCTGGAAAGCTTAGGACGCACCAAGGAAAAGTTTGCTGATTTCTTGGGACCTTTAGTGGAGTCGTGCCTACCTGAGAATATTCTACGTGCCTGGGAGCGGAGTCGAACTTCTGAACAGGGACAGGAAAAGAGTTCTGAAAGAACGCTTGAAAAACTAATGTGTTTTTTAAGGCATGAAGTAGAATCGGAAGAAATGATTAGATTAGCACAATCAGGATTTACTCATTCTGTTAAGCGTCTTAATAAAAATGTTATTTCAGGTAATTCAGATTTAGCAACAGCTGCCGCGCTGGTAAGTACAAATGAAACCAGTAAAGGTAAGCAAAATGTTTGTATATTTTGTGGTAAGCCTCATATGAGTGCTAAGTGTTTTAAAGCTGAAAATATGAGCTTAAATGAAAAGAGGCAACTTGTACAAAAGAAAGGTGTTTGTTTTTCATGTTTAAGAATTGGCCATTTAAAAAACCAATGTAAAGCCAATATTAAATGCCCCATTTGCAGTTGTGATCATATAAAATTTATGTGTCCTCAGAATGTTAGTTCTGTAAAACAAAATGACTCTAAGTTGGATGTTTCCCTTTCTAATAATAGTAAGAGCGAGAAAGTTTATTTGCAAACTTTATGTGTTCTAATTAAAGTTAAAGATCGAGAGAGAAAAATTAGGAATTCTCTTGGATTCGGGATCCCAACGATCATACGTTGGGGAGAAAATTATGAAGCGAATGAAGGCTGATCCTATTCGACAGGAGAAAGTAATTCATGGTTTGTTTGGGGGGAGGGAAACTGCGCCTGTAACCCATTCTGTTTTTGCTATTGACATAAGCAGTTTAGATAACACTTTTAGGTGTTGTTTTGAAGCTTTTTCTGAAAAAAAGATATGTGGATTTGTTCCAACAATCAAGAATGCTCAGATTATAGAGGAATTGAAAAGCAGGAAAATTGAGGTCAGTGACACATTTTGCGAGGAAAGTGAAATTGATTTATTGATAGGTGCAGATGTCATTGGTAAACTGTTAACTGACGAATACCTAGAATTACCCTCTGGAATTACCCTCTGTTTAACTGCAGTCAAAACAAAACTGGGTTGGACGGTTATGGGTAAAGAAAATGATACTGTCAGGGATAATGCCCTAATAAGTCTTTCCTTACATGTAAATAATGCTTGCTTCTTTGAAATCTTTATGGGAGCTTGAAGTTTTGGGTATTTCCGACCCGACGGAAAATAGTAAAACGAAAAAAAAATCTTCATTGCGACTACGAGATTGATTTTCAGAATAAATTATCTATTCGGCCCGATGGTAGATATGAATTAGAATTACCCTGGAAATGCGAATCTACCAATTTATCAGATAATAAAAGCATTGCTTTGACACGTCATCAAAAAATGATAAAGAGGGCAAAAGAAAATAATTCTTTGAAGGAATATCAAGAAGTGTTTAGAGAGTGGGAAAATTTAAATATTATAGAAAAGGTTCCGGAAAAGGAATTAAACAATAAATGCCACTTTTTACCACACAGACCGGTTATTAAGATGAATAGTGAAAGCACTAAGGTAAGACCCGTTTTTGATGCTGCTTCATCTTGTGAAAAGGGAAAA